GTGATGGGTTGGCTCAGTTGGATCAGACTGAGCACGTAACGCGTCACTTAAGCGTTTGTACACCTACGCTACCTGTTAGTGTGCTTACGTGTTTGTATGCGTGTACTTGGGCTTGCAATCCTGCTGCTTTCACGTGCGTACAATCCGTCTTGCCATGGCATCCAATTGGTGTGTCCAGCATTCAGTTTGTCATGTGATCTGTGTATGGATCTGGACACATTCACAATTCCACTAGGCCGCATGCGGGCCGGATACGGATCAGGGAACGGGATAGGAAGAGGAGAAGAAATGCAACAGGCTTGGAAACGATCCGAAATAACGACACGGGATCGGCAAAGGATGTCAGAACTCGTTTTGGACATGTGAACGTGTTGTTCCAGCTGACGGTATTCTGGTTTCATCCGGCATCCACAAACGCGCGCGCGCACACACGCGGGCATGCACACATACACAAGCAAGTATGCACTCTCAATAACTGAGAGAGACAGTAGAATCAACTGATTGATTTACCCCATAGATTTTGTACCACTTACAAATGGGATTAGATTTTTACCGGCCTCGTTGGAAGCATGAGACAGATGCGTGCGCGCGCTCGCTCACCTGCGTTGGGTCGGGCACGTATATACACAGTCATTACCGGAAAGCTAACTGCTCACTCGTTAAGCATACTATTGACCTAAAACAGGTACATGTATTGACGGGAATCTGACTTATGAAATTTGTACAGAATGGATTGACTAATTAGATACGATCTACATACGATTACGACACCATTTGAAAGTATTGGATTGAATTGCACAACAGTGGGTCCACGTACGCACTAACGGACACACTAAATCGGTTTGACGGTGCAGGTCGAGTCATTTTTTCAATCAAAAATAAAAAGACAACAGTATTTTACCGGCGAAAACGTGAAATATTGATACACATTTTCAGTGTGAGTAATGTGTGCTGTCTGATCTTGGTACATAGTCCATGAAATGCCATCGATAGTTTGCTTAATGATTTGTTGTGCAAATCAGCCTATCAACCCATCCGATTTATCGTGCTGCAATGCTTTCGCGATAAAATACAGTTTGATGATATCCGCAAATGAGGCTGGGGCTTTGGTTCATGCACCTAACTCAATGGATGAATCCCGTACGACAGGCTTCGCTGTTTAGCACACATGTTGAGCCCGTTTCACTGTGGTACTAATGTGCTCTGGGTTTGCGCAACTCAGCGGAGTCCATAGCACCGCGCAGTGGGCTGTTTCCCGGCTCGTATTCTCCACGACCTAAAACGATACGGGTCTCTCGGGACGGTGAAGAATCATTGGCAGACAATCTCTTTATGGGTTTCGGGGGAAGGGAGTAAAAAACTGTTTTGTATTTGTATAACTTTTGCAACCTGAGATATGCTTACACTTCAGTTAAAAATTGCACACTGGTCGTCACACCGGAGAAAATATAGAAATATAGACAAATCTAACAGAGTGCTGTGCAAAAATAATGTCTCCGAAGTTTGCTTCATTCAAGTGAATATTGACGTAATTCATTTATAACTCGTTCCTTGTTGGTCAAGATTCGAGCCAGATATGGTACAGGGGAGTTATTATAAATGTTTATTCTGGAGGGTAGATACCAATAAGAGGAACGAGTGATCGAGTGGGATCGACAAGAAGATGATAAATCAAGATGCAAGGGATGGGAGGGGTCGTTTAGAATCTTTATGACAATGGTTACAGAAGACTTCATATGACCATTAATAAGTTCAGTGATTAATGACTCGGCAGAAATTAAAGATGCACGACTTATTATCATCAATCCACGACGGATAGTTTTAAAGTGTTGTTTCAATAGACCGGGAAATACTACAAGGGAGGAATAAAGTGAAATAGACAGAACTCATTGAATAGCAAAGGAGAACAAAACTTGTTGGGGATTGCGAAATTGTCTGAGCTTCCGAAGCTGAAAAGGGACGTGCCGCAGTTTTCCCGTAGAGTTCTGAATGTGTGTCGACCACCGAAGACTATTATCGATAGTAACACTCAGATATCTGGTTGACGTTACTCTCGACAGGAGGTTACAATTAGGAGTTACAGAGTCCGACGGGAATGTAGAGCGGAAGGAACTAAAAATGTACTTAGATGTGTTAGGATTAAGATCAGAATGGTTTGAAAACTGATGGATTCGGGACAGATTTTCAGTGAAGGAGGAAAATTCCGGAGAAGAAGAAAAGGTTTGACATAAAACGACATCGCCAGCATATGTTCGGATATGAGCAGGGTGTGGAACTGAAAGATCACTAATGAAAGCGGAGAAAAGATACGGAGAGAGGTCTTCCTGTCCAGCTTTATGCATTGAATTCTTTCGGTGAAATAAATAAGAAATCCATGAAAGCAGCATTTCGGGGTGCCAAAAGATTCAAGCTTAAAGAGGAACGATGACCGGGACACAGAATCAAAAGCAGATGAATAATCAAGGAAAAGACAACGAGCAGATTTGGTGGAGCTGTTCAATGACTTGCTTATAAAATGAAGCAGAGTAGACACAGCATCCAAGCTGAATTTGTTAGATTTATACGCGAACTGAAGAGGATCTTGGGCGCGGGTGACGAGCGATTGTAAGCGACTCGGGATGGCTTTCTCATTCAAGTTTAGAACTACAGACGTCAATGTAATGGGACGAAACAGTTTTGCAAGAACGGTTAAGGATAATATCTTTGGAACAGGTTCTATGGTCACTGGTCGCCAGGAATCAGGGATCATGTGTGAAGAAAGAGATTCGTTGATGAGGGATGTAATCGTGCTAGTTAGAGGGGCTGCTTCAAACTTGAGACACGCTGGAGAAAGACCAGCGGGGTCCGCAGATGATGGTGGTTTGAATGAAGGTAGAAGATTAAAAATTTCATCATTGGATAAAGGGAACATACCGGAACTAGAAACCTCACATAGGAAAGTCGGTATCTGGCTCTCATTAAACGAGTGAAGAAATGCAGCGTTAAGGCTTTTTATATGAACATCATTGTTCACGTTATTCCTTTTTGTCCGCAGAGAAGCCGAATTCCTTGCCATAGAAGCCTTGTGTTTTTCGTTTGTAGGATTTGGGAAGTGAACGTGCTGCTTAATCATGTTATCTCAGTCTTACTTAAGTAAGAATAGCATTTTACAGCAGATGGATGGTGAGATTTATAGGATTGTTCCTTTTGCCTTCGTAGCGAGTTCGAGAGAGATGTAATTTTGCCCTTGCAAAAAAACAGCGTTTCCATGGGACAGCAAAAATGGAAAATCGATTTCATCGTTTCGGTGAAAAGACTGACACAGTGAAGAAGTGACGAACAAGAAGTAAACCAAGATTGAGCAACCATTATGGCACGCCGGAGAAGAGCACTGCGGGTTAATGAAAAGTTACGGAAATAAAACCTTACCTGGTTTGATCTTATGATTGTTGGATTTGCAGAGCGAGTGTANAGTGTATATTTTTGGTCTTAAGAGGAGAACACAATGACCATCGGTAGCGACTGAGGCTATGAGTTTGAGGGAAAACAAAGTGGGATGGTTTGTGCCTACCCGGTCAAGTATAGAGCTGTTAGGAGGATGAGACAAATCGGATAAGCCAAAAGAAAGCAGAGGGTAAATGCTTGCATGGTTGAAATCACCAACAGCCAAATGACGATGCTCATCTAATACTGGGACCAAAAACGGGATGTAATGATCAAAGAAAGAAAAAATATCTTACTGGGAGTGCGAAGGAGGTATATACCATATTAGCAAAAATTGTACTTTTATGTCGGGAAAATTTGGGATGATAACGAACGGACAAACAGTCAATAGATTTTTCAGAATAGCTGAATACCACTTCAGACTTGTCACACCAAGAAGTGTTAATGTATACATTGCCTCCAGTTTCCTTCTTGCTATGTTGTCTGTCCTGCCGGTAGCAGTAGAAGCCATCTATCTGCACGAGAGCATCCTCAACGTTTTGATTTAACTAGGTCTAATGTATGCATACAACACATGTGTTGGAATAGATGCTTATGCTCAGTGAAGAAGTTAAATCCGAGATCTTCGCGAGGAGAGAGCGAACGTTGGTGCTGACCAATGATGGCACGGTCTTCTTGGCAGGAGGGGTGCAATCAAGCGCATGCTGCTATTCAGCACGCTTGCTCTTCTTGATCTAAGCATGATTGCCAGATTCTCAAAGCATATTATTTGTGCGAGGCACAGAATTCACAGATTTCAATCTAAGTATATCCTTGAGAGATTAGATATGGGTCCGGAACATATTTGCCATCGAGATATCAATAAAATACAGTGAAACGACGGGCACACAAAACGTAGCGCAGCCAATCGAAGGGCGCGCCCAGTGCGGTAGAAGAAACAAAACACCTAAAATCAACAGATTCATTCAGAGGCCGAACAGTGTCATTTCATCTTCCTAGCATCACCATTTCCTCGGGAATCTTTACGCAAATCTACCAAGCAGTACTACTCGGCAATACTCCCAGCGATCAAGAACGGGTGGTCACCAGAGGTAAAGAGGAAGTATCCTCAGTTCTTTGATCACCGAGAGGAGTTGTCAGTGCAATTGGATGGTGTATTGTGTCGCGACGGTCGATTGGTAATCCCACCGCCACTACGGAAGACGGTAGTAGATGAATTGCATAAAGGAAATATGGGGTGGAGAAGATGAAATCATTGGCTCGACAGATGTGTTGGTGGCCGGAGTTGGACGCAGAAATTTACGTAACAGCCAAGAGCGATGAGTCATGTTTACACAAACTACGAACAAGGCCGAAAAACTGGACAACATGGCCGGAAAGTTACATACCATGGCAAATTGTTCATTTGGATTTCTGTGGTTCATTTCTGAACCGGTATTACACCCTTGTTCTGATCGATTCATACTCCAAATGGTCAGAGGTATTCTGCACGACTACGCCTACCAAATCATTTGTGATAAAAGTACTACGGAAATGTTTTAGTCGCGAAGGTATTCCACAAGTGCTTGTGACGGACAATGGATCTCAGGTCTGTGCAATTGCGTCTGCCAATCCTAAAACGCTACATGAGTTGGAAACGTTGGTGGATAACTTCCTCCTCCAATACAGAAACGCAATACATACAACGACCAAGGAGAGCCCGGCAATGCTTTTTAAATCCAGACGCTTGTGATCCTCCCTACAGTGCCTCGACTCCAGTGACGTCGTGTACTTCCGTGGTATCGATTTCCGACCCACGTCTGTTATAGTCATACGACAACTGGGTCAAGCCATGGTGGAAATTACCTACTTGAATGATGCTACTCTGCATAAGCAACACGTGGACGAAATCCATTTCAAACCATCCACGGACCAGCGGCATCAAGAGACAAGCGAGGGAGGCAATCAGTTGCAAACCTCGTCAGAACACCCGACGGAGCCGCATCAGTCAAAAGCGCAGACACAACCAATCGAGACGCAAGGACACCGCCATGAACAGGTGGAACCAACGATTACAATCCGCAGGTCTAGCCGTCAGGCGAGCCAGATTGACGAGGCACTCTTGAGGGAAGAGAGTTGTGGTAATCCAGACTTCCGTGACCGCAATCCAGGCACGACCAAGTGCAGTTTCATGTTATCTAATCACCGTTTAGGAAGCTCGACCAATGGTACACCGGGTGAACATGACATCCGAGTTAGTACGTATGATGCGTCAGCGCAAACGGTCACGTGATTGGAGGACGGTCGTTCAACCAATCATATGGCCTTCCATACCTTCCATAAAACATGATCTAATTCTATCAATAAACATAAGCATTTACTGCTATCAATTCCTCGTGTATTTCANCCAATTCAGTTCTGAGCAGTACATTACGGGTTCTCGTATCTCTACATTCAGTACTTTTCCGAGTATCACATATTTATACAAGAAAATTTTATTCATGACAGTGGTTCAGTGGTCACCAGTCAGGATAGGGGGATCAGTTCAAAAATCAATCACACAGCAATTTGACTGATTGTATCAGGAACGTTTCATGCGCACGAAATTTCCCTACGTAACTTCATTAGCATTGTTTCGTTGAATCCTAGGAACTCGGGATTCATGTTAAGTGGGTCAACGATCTGTTCAGCTGTCATAAGTTGTTTTGCTACTGATGAACATGGATATCCCTAATCAGATTGATCCCTGAGATTTTGCTGCATCATTGACTGTAATAATCATTTAGGAATATGTTCGAACATCCGTTGTGAGAGAGGTCGATTTATTCTGCCGATGTAAATGTCACCACGACTGCAGGTGAACTGATGGGCGACGTGTGAAGCAGAATTGGGCGGTTGGTTCCATTTTCGGTTGTCTAGACAAGGACCGTAGAGATATGGTGTCAATCGACGATGTGCGGCAGGAACCTTTCGAAACAATGCCGCCTTGAGCTTTTGATGCACTCCGTTAGTTATATGATCACCGACAAAGGTCAATCTGAGGAAGACGCTCTTATTCGGTACTCCGCAAACGAGGACAACCAATGAAATTCGTCTGCTTTGAGCACCAATCAGTTTCTCGGGGTAGCCATGATCGTGCGAAGGCCTGTTCTTCAAACTTGCCCGAGGGGCAAATATTCCTGGGACGATGAAACAGAGTTTTCACCAGACCACGTTTGCATGCCATACGAACAAAACCATGGGCGTCTTCCGGTAGACGGGTCGTTGTTAAGATATCATCGTTGTAGCCACGAAGGAGATTAAAAGAAATGTTAACATCCCACAGTATTCGTCTACCCTCTGTTCTAACGAATTGAATAAACGGACCCAATGTTGCAAGACAAGGATTGATTAGCAGCAGTATGGTTACTGGATTTTCACCCGACACATAAAATGGGTCTCCACAGTGGAGTGAATTTGTGTGCTCGATGATGCAAACGCACAAGCACTATTGTGATGGGACCAAAGATCAACGATTTATTATGGGAATAATTTACAAGCTCATGATTTTCTCGTCCCATAGGTTCGAGTCGTGGTTGAAAGACAGAGATACATACAATTCTTTGTGTAAAATATCACATGATACGCAATTCTTTCACTGCTGCACGCAGCTTCACTTATGTTGGAACATAAGGTGAGCTAATGTTTCATCGAGCTCCAGTTTGAAAGATTTAATGCTTGGAGCACAGCCAACGTAGGGTGGGAGAGAGTTCCAGATCGAACACACTCTGCCTGTGAATGACTGACACCGGCGTTTCAATCGGCATTTTGAGACCACTAGGTTGAACGGATGTCCTCTAAGATGAACGTTGGGTGATGATTTTAGCAGCGGGCTACACGGATGGCTTGGGTTTTGCACTATTTAGCATACCATAATCATATCACCTTTGATGCTCCGGTAGTGATTGGAATATAAGCCCAACGACCTTAATCTCTCTGCATATGAATAACGATTCAACCCCCTAACCATTTTGGTGGCCGTCATTTGTGGATGCTCCAGCATTTTGCAATCACGTTGTAGCCATGGATTCTATGCCTGGAAGGCGTACTCAAAACTTGTTCCAAAAACTAGTACCGAAACTTGTTCCACCAAATAATGGTGCGACAATTGGAAAGGATACCCGNACCCGAACATCTGGATTTGATATCGGGTTAACTTGATTTTAGCAGCGCATAGTTTATTCAGACCGCTCGCCACTCACTCGTGTGCGGAGCATTTCCGATTACTTGGTCGATTGAATGGACTTCAAAAGTTTATTTTCTGACCTAACTTGTACGTGAAGTTCCAATTGTTGTTTGGTAGATTGAAGAATTATGCTGGAATTGTAAAACGTTTAGTATTGAAAAGATCAGTGCTATCGG